TTTTGGTGTTCGCATCAAATACGTGCTTCTTGTATTTATATGTTAATAAGCGTTTTGGTTCAGGAATGCAATTGTGTAACTCTAGTGGGACTCCTTGTTGGTTTCATTTTCAAGTTTGACATTTGGTTTCGTTGTATTGTGGGAATGTATCAGTAGCGATTATGAGCAAATGTCTTTTTTTATATTACCTACTATCTTCCATGAGGTTCGTATTGTCGTGAGAAAAGAATACTACCCAGTTTCTCACTATATTTACATTTTTACTGGAGTTTTAATCGTACTTATATTTGTTCGCGTCCAATTAACGCAAATTACTATGGTGATGATGTTATATATGAGAAAGCTCAAGATTGCTCAGAAAAGTATGAAACGGGCTATGATCGGAGTTTCACTGTCTGTCGGACTTCGTAATCTGCATTACAATCAGAGTAATTGAGACATAGCGCAAAGGGTCAGTTGGCTGAAATAGTAATGAGCCGGTTTTATAGTTGAAAATACTGGCAATTCTCGAATGGTAATTTTGTACGGGTAAGCCAAGTTTAGAGGATCCCCTTACTAGATGGAGTGATGACCTGGTAGGAAGTGCAGGAAGTGTGCTTTGTGCCATTGCGTGGAGGATGGCTATGTTCAGCAATGGACTTGTGATGTGCTGTAATGATGATGATATTTTTTTAAAGTGATATTCAAGTCTTTCTACAGCTTTTAATCTAATGAAAATATTTCAAAGACTGAAATGAGTAATATAGACCCGGGACTCTCACAAACAGCTTACATGCATACATTTTAGTCGTTCCGAAACTGAAGGAACTTGAAATGCAAATTGCATGCAAACATGCATGCATAGATAGAGCAGTGGATTCTGCTTCGCAGCATGTAAATTGCTTTGGCTCCGGTTGATCCAAATATTGACATGACGTTCCCAAGAGGTTCCGGTAAAGCAGCGACCGTATTAATAAACTGTTTGTAAACTATTCCACAATTTCTGATGTAAGTTATTTAACAAATTATAACAGTGTTCCGTTATATTAATTATAATATGTTAAATCGTATATTTTAAAAATGTTTGTACGAAAACTCATTTAATTTTCGTTTAAATTTCGGTATGGGACATTTTTTACTGGAAACGAGGCATTCCATCTTAATCTTCAGAGGTGACAATGCATCTTCAATTCGATTCTTAATTGAGGATAAATATAGATGCCTGGGCCACAGCATCCACTTATCATCAGGTGGACTATGTGCTCGTTTGTCACCCAAATTCTATAAAAAATGAGTGATAGAGCACATTACGAAGCTTCACGAATGCTGGTCAATCCAACCGAATCCACCTGTCGGCTTCTTTCTCGAAGTATATTTTTTGAATTTTTGTAGGTTGCGAATGTTTCATATATCGAAAAACTACCAATAAGCAAGCTACTTAACTAACTAGCTCATGTGTTTTATTAGATCTCAGTAGGTTATGATGGACATTTGTGCCGCTTTTGTATTTCTTATACATTTGACTTCAAGGCTGAGCTTCAAAGGCTGAAATAGGTCTCCCCCGTAGATTGCCTCATACGAAGAATATTTTATATAGATGCCACGCTTGGCAAATGCTGTGACTTTTGATAGGCTGTAATTAATTAAATAATTAAATTGTATGTAATGCAATCGGTCAGCAGTGGTTTTGTTGAAAGCTGTAATGACGCTAATGATACTGTAATGAGAACTGTAAAATTCAAATTAAAAATTTGTTATCTTTCTCTATAAACTATATAAATAAACGAACGTGGTACGCAGCGTCTAACAACGCTATTTCCGCCGGCGATGTGTTCTAGAGTTTCCGCAGTCTTTGTTGCTCTTTGTTAATAAATGTAAAGTTATAGACTTTATATGCCCTACTCTAGGCCTTCTTTAATTTCTGAGATGGTTAAGGCACTATTTGTTTGGCTCCAGTGCGTGTTGCAGGACTTCATAAGTCGTCAAAATATTTCTGCCTCAGACATACAGCTTTAATTTTTACAATGTTTTTCTTTACCGCCATGGTGGTAAAGCTGCACTTACAGTTGTAAATAACTCTTTTGTTCGTACCGCTTAGTCATTCACTTATTTATAGCGGTGACAGCATCACTATTTATTTTTACAATTTAGAAAGCACGAGCACGATTAAAACAAACTGTGAGAAGTGATACATTATATTAGAAATTTCCAATTTTCAAAGACGTAATCTTTAGAACTATTCATGATACGCATGGGGTCTTAAAGTTTCTACATTTATTTGTATTTTTAAAATAGATTGAAAACTTTTAAAATTCTATGAAATATAGGATAGGCAACAACATCTTTAAAAATAATAAAAACTGCTGTTGCCAACCCTTAAGCCATGCGTGGCAACTTTGAAAAATCCCTCCTATGAAACAAATTAAGAACCTTACATAGCGTCGTCTAGTATGACAAAAAGCCAGATCTGGCACATTACGTGATTGGAATACTGTTCTCGTCTTTGAGGTAGATCACTCCCGTGTCAACTTGTTCCAGTTGACGATATCCAGCAAAGAGCGGCTCGGATCGTCAACGACAGAGTTAATTCTTTTTTTTTATAGGATAGGGTGACAAACTTGCACACAGTCCACCTGATAGTAAGTGATTGCTGCGGGCCATAGACATCTACATCTATCCTCGAATACAAATCAAAATGCAGATGCGTTGTCACCCTTGAGTAGTGAGGACTAGAATGGAATGCCTTGTTTCCAGTAAAAAAGGTCTCCAGTTCTCTAAACTCACCATATGAAATACAGCAGCATTAAGCTACTATTTTCCTGTGAGAGCGTGGTCCTTCCCCGGTCGAGTCGACCCATTCGTGATACAACTATACTACTAATAGAACTGCAGCATGGCTCTATCACGTGTATCTATCGTCTATCTACTTCATCTAATGGCCTTAAAGGATTTGCGTTTCTTTGCATTATCTATTGTATTGACTATATAGTACATGAAGGTATTCATTTCAGCTGAAAAGTTCTACAGTAGTACGTTCTAAAACCATTTGAAATCCTATCCACAATGCTTCGATAATCTACAACAGATTTGATTATTGTCTGATTTTCACTAAATTCTTCTTAAGCAGGACTTTCCAGACCAGTATGAAACGCCTTCAAAAACTAGTCTTTAATTTTTTGGAAGTTACCCCAAAGTGCTTGCAGTTCCTAAGGTTTTACGAACATTTATAAGCGGTGGAAATCACAACAAATAAATATTTTGTAGATTTGACTTTTTTATAAAGAACCTTTTCCCATTAAAACAAATGTTTGACATCAGTTATAAACCATTTCAAAATACATGTTAATATATTTTAATTTTTAATTTTAAACCTTTAGTTTTTGGTGATTTTTCAATAGTTGAACTTGTTGCCCAATGACCACTATTCATCATTACCGCACTTCACAAGTCCACTGCTGAACATAGGCCCCCCAAGTAATGCCACAAAGCACGGTCCTGAGCCACCTGCATCCATCGACTTCCTGCATGTCTTACCAGGTCGTAACTCCATCTAGTGGGGAGTCACCCTACACTACGCCTACCGGTACGAGGGTGCCACTCGAGAACCTTTCTTCCCCATCGGTTATCGGTTCTTCGAGCTATATGGCCGGCCCATTGCCACTTCAGCTTACTAATTCGTTGGGCTATGTCGGTCACTCTGGTTTTACTGCGGATATCCTCATTTCTGAGTCTATCACGCAGAGAAACTCCGAGCATAGCTCTCTCCATAGTTCGTTGAGCGACCTTGAGCGTCCTCATACGGTCAGCAGTGAAGGACCACGTCTCAGATCCGTAAGTCATCACTGGCAACACGCACTGGTTGTACACTTTAGTTTTCAGATATTGAGCTATACATGACGAGGAGATGTGTCGTAATTTCCCGAACGCTGCCCAGCCGAGTTGAATCCGTCGATTGACCTCTCGGTCGAAGTTGGACTTACCTAGTCGGACTATTTGTCCCAGGTAAACGTACTCGTCAACAACTTCGAGTATAGTGCTCCGACAAATAACGGCATAGGTGTGACATGGACATTAAACATGATCTTTATTTTGTCCATGTTCATCTTAAGCCCTATCCGTTGGGAGACACCATTGAGGTCATTAAGCATAGTGCTAAGGTCCTCCAGCGATTCTGCCATAAGGACTATATCGTCGGCAAATTGAAGGTGAGTGATTTACTCGCCATTGATGTTAATACCGTATCCTTTCCAGTCCAGTAGCTTAAAAACTTCTTCCAACGCAGCGGTGAAGAGTTTCGGGGATATAACATCACCCTCTCTTACACCTCTCTGCAGTTGGATAGGTTTCGAACTCTGATTCTGTACTCGTATAGCCATCGTAGCCGTACTGTACAAACACTTCAGCACTTCGATATACCGACAGTCAACTTTGCACCGCTGAACGGACTGTAGCACCGCCCAAATTTCGACGGAATCAAAGGCTTTCTCATAGTCCACATATGCCAGGCAAAGTGGCAGATTGTTCTCTTCACCATGATGACCACTATTATGTTATAGTTTTTTTAGATAAGTTACACTTAGACGAACTCCCAGGTAAAAACTAGTTTTTGATAAATAAAAATACAACATTTATAACATCATTGTAATAACATTGCCAAACAATTTAAGCAATATACACTGGCTTAACTAAACTCTAAAAAAATTTGATAAAATTAGTAAAATTTATTACTAAAAGAGTATTTATTTCGAGTGTATATATTCGCGTAAAATTCGTAGACATTTATCATCAATTTATTTTATGTTCTTGCTAAGAAACGTGATCAATTGAAAATAAGTTCAAGACTTTCAATTAGGTGCCTCAAAAAAATAAAAGCTCTTCTAAAACTTATTGATCATTCAGAACACTTGAGACGATGTATAATTGTAATGGATTTATAAGTTTGTGCATTAGGGACTTATGCACACAGATAAATGAGAAAATAGTTCTATAATAATGATTGAACAAAATGGAATATATCTGATTTAATTGAGCACGCAAGATTCGTATGTTGGTATCATATATTTAATATTAATAAACGCATCCGGACCACCGTAACGTTCTAGTATCTGTAAAGTATCTTCGATTAGGTCAGCCACATTTTCTCCGCGTGTAGTGGTGTGATCTATTCCAGCACCGATGTTACCTGAAGATAAAAAATATATTAGTATTAACCTGTTCCTGAATTGATTTAGTCCGATGAACAACATCAATTCATTTATTCGTTCATTACAGCCAAACTGTTCACTGCTGAACATAAACCACTATTCATAATGGGTATATGTGCCACAACTGCCATGCTCTGATAGCGGGTTGGCAACCGCAGTTTTTTCTTTTCTAGTTATAATGAAGAAAAAGCTGTAGTCTATCTCCTCGTTTGTTTACTTCTGCCGCCACTTACGACACCCACGGTACAGTATGTTATACCCCTTACACCACGTGGTAGCTCAGATAGTTAGCGCTCGCTGTAAATTTTAAAGTACGCGAGCGAACCGGGTTCGATCTCCGCTGGCACCAATGAAAATGTTAATTATCATTGGTGTCAGCAATCATTAATCAATCAATCTTAAGTGCTGATTAACCACGTGCTCGGCGGTGAAGGAAAACGTCGTGAGGAAATCTGCATGTCTGAGAAACAAGAAAAAATATTTCGAAGACATGTGGAGTTCGCCAACACGCATTGGGGCAGCGCGGCGGACATTTCCTTTCCCTAAAACCCTCTCTGAAATGAGGGAGGCCTGTGCCCAGCTGTGGGATGTGTATATAGGCTGTAATTTAAATTTTAGTAGTAAATTAAAATATGTTCCAAATACATGTATTTTATTTCATTGGTTACCGTTTTCGTTGTAACTTATCAAAAGTTTACAGATGAAAATAGGCCTCTTTCGCATAGGATAAGATTTCTTCATAGGGAAAGACATTTGCTATTGTTACCACGCTTGGCGTGCTGGTTGGCATTTATTTGAATTCCTTTTATTTTATTTTTATTTTTTATTTATTTTTCTTTTTATTACCTTCTGTCGCTCCTTACAAGAACCACGGGACGATGGAGGTTGCTGGTATATTCCTACACTTGCACTACGTGATATATTTTATTGGTTATCATAATATTATACCTAACTATCGGGCTTAGTGAGACTTATGGCTTCATTACTAGTTATATTAAGATTCATAAATCGGTTTAATAAAAACTCTGAACTTGCTAGACGACGACGTTGTAGATCAACAAAAAAATATTATGTATGGGACACGTCAGCCCCGTGAAGCATTTGACAGAAACTATAACATCGTTTGAGTAGATATTTCCATGTGTTTTCACGTAAAATAAGAAATCAAAATTAAACATATTTGCTGCTAATTAAATTTTCATTTCAATAGTTTTATTTTATAAGGTTATATATTTCACATTATAACAATAATGGTACAGAAAATATCACGCGTCTCAATAACATCGAAGCACCGTATTGTTTAGCTTATAATAGACTTGTCGTTGCGTTCGAGAAGATTAATTACACGGCGTCGCCGGCAAAGGCGTTAGAACGTATTTCGGGCGTTACGTGGCACCACCGCGTCCTGACACCCGGACACATTGTTACGGGAATTCTGAGCGTACCAGTCCTGCTGCAAAGACTAACGACTGTTCGCAGCAAACTACGAATTAAACTATCATTGGAATTGCTTGCATCCGTTTTGTGAGCGAATAAAAACAATATAGTACGTGTGGGTAATATGGTCATCCGGGTAATATGGTCACTTTCTTATAACTCAAAACTACAGCCTGGTTTGCATAGATGGCTTTGTGATGCGATAGCTCTTCATCGGTCAATCAAATGATAAAAGCTCAAAAGGGCGCTGTTTTATCGACGTCATTTTAACAGTTGACATTATAGTAAATACTGTAGTCGATTTTAGTATGGTGTAGTGTAGTTAGTTTTTTTTTAAGTTGATTTTTTGAAGTGTTCGTAATATTGCCAAAGCGTTTTTGTTTTTTGTTTTTTCTTAATGTATCAGTTATAGTATACGAATTTATGTTCTTTTTTCTATCCTCCTCTTAGTTTTGGTTTTATAGGGCGGCAAAGCTTAAGGTGTATTACCCTCACGTACCTTATAAAATATTTTAATATAGGTATATAGTTGGATATATACCATACCTGCTACGCTTGGCAGACTGGTTAGCAACCGCATTTTTTATTTTTAAATCGAAATTGTTACTTGCATCGGAAGATACCATGGGGGTAATGATTATTTTTACACTGCCACTTATGCCACATTTACACTCAGTCACTGCCTCTGCTCCTGTCGCTGTCCTAAATACTTCTGCGGCAATAACGACGTGAGTGGGTGTTCACACTCAGCCTTCATATTATGTACCTCGTTGTTGATCAACTCGCAAGAATGATATACGTGGGGGTTGTTGGTGCGATAGCATTAAGTGTACTCAGTATAAGTAATGATTTAAGTGTATTAAAAAGAAATAAAAGACGCCTTCGTCTAAGAAGGTGGTGGATAAGGGAAATTCATCGCAATAGAAGGACGTAAGTACTACTAAAAATTATTTATCTCTCTTTCTCGGGCGAAATTCAAAAAGTAAGAGGATATGAATACTCGCTCGCGCTCGCGCTGTCCATCCTTTGACTTCCGCGCGAAAAACCGGCAATCGAGGGAGTGCCGAACATTGGCAGTGACATGGGCAGTAACAGCGCAAGTAACCTATGTACATACATGCGCTGCTCACTTCCCTGCCCAACTAGGCTTAGTGTAAATGTGGCATTACGGACAACTCACAATAATAAATTCTGCGGTTGTCAAACAGCCTGGCCAGCGTGGCAACTGTGGTCAACAATCTATGTACAGTATTAGACTTGTAATAGGCAGTAAAATCGAGTAAATGATTTATTTGTCGCGCGTGTTCTTTCGATTATTGTGCGTGTATCGTTTCGATTTATTTGCCGCGCGTGTGTATCGTTCGCTTTGTCTCATTTCTCGAGTTGTCAAATAGTTGCGGCCGAGGTTGGGAGCATTTGGGGAGAATCGGTTTCGTCACTGCTCCTCGCAGTCAGCTTCGTCAAGCTAATGTTGCAAATTACGTGTTATTTGTAACATCCCACACTTTAGCTCAAATTGTTATGAATTGGAATAACTAAATATAGAAAACACTTGAAATTATTTCTGTCTTCTTAATATGAATACTAGTAAACGTTCTTGGGTTCAAATTTGGCATTTCATTTCTATTATTCTATTATTTTCATTTCTTTAAATCGACTGATGTCATACACTTCTTCTAATAAATTTTAACCTTACATAATGGTGATTAACAAGAATATTAGTAACATTTAATAACGTTACTAGTAATAATAATAATATCCTCCCGACCGAATATCGGTCACGGCGGCCAGCCTCAACGGCGACTAGCCATCGGCCTAGGCCAGGATTATTGTGCCCAAGTGTATGCGCCTCTCACTCTTATAGTCCAATGGTACGGTAAACCCATACAACCGGAGAGTCATCAGGCACAAGAGTAACGGCTTTACGTGGTTTCTGAGGTACGGGTGTCGATGCACGGATGTGAAACACCGCCAATTTACTGACTCCGGGCTGCCAATGAGAATTTCTTGACAGAAACACTCAGTAACAGATTTTGCCCCTACTCGGGGTTCTCACCGGGACCTTATGATCAGCAATCTAGCTTACGGTCACTGGACCAATGAGGCAGTCAAAGAAGCTTAGCTTAAACGTATTTCTATACTTTAACCTTTAAGAATCATAAAATGGATATTCTCATATAAATACTTGTCAGTAAGTTATGATTTTACAAATAATATTATTTAAAACTCAGTATTACATATTAACTCAAATATTACCAACAATACATGCACAAAGGAAGAGCAGAAACAGTAGCAAATTTCATATGTTAACGTACTAACAAATATATAGCATTGAAACTGAGCTTAATCGGATACAGATGTACAACACATGTTACTTTGAGTCACCGACAGTGCAACTATCGAGATAAATGACGTCCCTTGCAGTATTCTGTTACAATTGTAATCAATAACCCTGTAGAACAGAATTTACCTGTCAAATCCATAATAGTGATAACAATTTATACAAGTTATGGTTGTAGCATGAATAGATCGGCTCGAACTGGAAGCACCACGGTCATATATTGTGTTTCGTAATGTGAGTGTAATAAACCGGAGTCCCTTTTTTATTGGAAACGAGCCTTTCCATCGTAGTCTTTTGGGATGACAACACGAGTATAGAACGAGATAGAAATGAAAATGTCTATGGGCTACAGCATCCACTTACCATCATGTGGACTATGTACCCGTTTGTCACCATATTCTATAAAAAATCAGTGCAATGATATGGTTTAGTCACATAAAGACAACGATATGGTGCTCCAATACAGCAGCATAACAAATTGTATCAAAATGTAACATAATATTCTCTAACATATTATGTTACATTTTGCTACAATTTGTTAGATGCTATATTGTATACAATGCAAAACCGTTGAAATCTTTCTAATATGTTGTATAACTTTGTTTTACATTTTGTATTATTTGTATGAATATTAAAGAACTTGTTTTAAAAATATTATTTCACAGTTTATAACTGCTGTGTGGGAACATCATTAGCTTTTAATATCGTGTTTTAAGGGCTATATACGGTACCATCCGTTGGTTCAGACTAATCGATACGACGGATCTGTAGTGTATGTTACGACCGTTAGCGATTTACTTGATGGTAGACGATATCGAAGATCGCTAAACCTAGGCAATCTTGATTATCGTAACGATAAATCGACTGTGTATGGATCTTTACGATCGACGAGGTAGGTGCGTCGGTTCCTTCAACTCCTTCAAAATATTTATATACGAATATTTATGTTGATTTAATAGCTTCCTTTTTAACCTGCATTTTTCTACGTTTTATTTTTTTATGTAGCCGGATTAAATTTACCACCAAATACTCATAGAAATGAAGCTTATTTTACATTTTAAAATAAGACACGTTATTAATTATTCGAATTCCTGTCAGTGGTAGCACGTCTTCGTCGTTCCGTTTCAAACAAGTAAATAATCGATCGCAACGACTCGACCGTATGTTTTGAGTGATCTATCGTCACGATATCCTTTCAGGTTAAACGTAACGATGGATCATTTCGTATAATGGGCCCGTTAGAACTAAGCAAGAAGACTAGCAAGCTAACTTGACTTAGTAAATGTTATGTTTTACCATGATTCTATTTTATATTATTACATTAAAAGAATTTTTAATTTGACAACTGGACATAGGTTTTTCCTATAATGCACCAAGTTATGCGTTAATTGAAACATTTGGTCGTACTCCGCGGTTGGGCGAGGGGATTGGTGGTAGTTCACTTTGTGTCCGGTGCTCCTTGCCTGAAGAGCAATAGTATAAAGGGGAGAAGTTATCCCTTCTTAAAAAGGGGCTGCCAAAGGCCAATTACCTAGTGAGGCTACAGTTGTGTGCGAAAGTGTACCCATGGTCTTGCCGGTCTGCGGCGAAGGTTGAACATCATTGTGTTTTGTTAGTGCTAGTCCGATATAACCTATGCCCACTACACAATGAATTTGAACAACATTTTATTCAACATTTTACCATGAAGAAGAAAACGGGGATTGGAACTGAATACTGAACAGATACCTCAAACTAATAATACTATTTTATGTCTCCAGGATATGTTAACATAATGGTTTGTGTTGTGTGGTGGCGGTGTGTAGCATGAATAGTTCCTTTTTTAACCTGCACTGGTTAAAAAGGGCGTTTTGACTAGGGAACTATTAGGTGCTCATAGAATACGTACGCGTAAATTAGCAGTTGAATGCTGTTGGGTTTCGTATGGAGTATAGATGTAGATATCTATTGGCCACAGCATCTAATTACTAGGTTACAGGTGAACTACAACAGGTGTGCTTGTTTGTAAACTTTATTCTATAAAAAAGACCTTTGTGCCTATTTCAATTGAATTGATTGTCAAGATAATTAATAAAACCAGGCGTTACTTTCCGGAAATTATTATATTAGGTTGTTAGAATTTAATTTGTTTATTTCCTTAGCTTCGTGAACGAGATAAATGGCAGCTGTTCCGACTCATAGCTCACTTAACAGTCAGCCACCGCAGAATCTACTTCACCTGAGGATGCCTGTCATATTATCGAGGATGGTGTGTCGTTCTTAGTGTAGTGTTGCCGGAGGTGGTGGTGACGGGGATAGTGCACGCAATTAAGGGAAGGTAGGAGGTGCTCTTCAAGCTGGGTCACACATAATTTTATTTCATTACGCGGAAATAAGGAAATTAAGTTTTAACAACTTCAAAAAATGATTTTCCTTTATACTTTTTATACATATTATAGATATTATCGGGGCCTTATTCATCAATCAGCAAATTTCACGGACTGCAAGTGATGTTATTCAATATTTATATACATTATACACATTTGCAGAATTCCCGCAGCAATTACATTCATTTATAGCTTGCAGATAAATAAAATAATACAATAAAATATATAGAATATACCTAATGGAGAAATAAAGCATAATAAATCGACCGTAACACACCAGTGCACGTATACTCACGATTCCTGTCCTTGAACAAATTGAGCGTAGGTAAAATCTGCCTGTAATACGGCACGAGAGCCTCGCCGACTCGGTCGCAGCCGGTCACGAGCATCTGGATGCATTTGAGAGCGTGGCATAGGACAGTCGGGCGCTTTGTCGCGAGTGCATCTGTACAAATAGAGCGAATTGCTTTTAGAGAGTGGAAATGCTGAGCGCTTTCGCGAAATTTTTTACACGTGTTTTGACATTTTTCTAGTAACAAAAAAAAATTTGTCATAAAAAATAAAATAGTCGAAGTATAATTAATTTGTCGTGAAAAGGCGGTATTGCATTTTGTCAAGGTGTCGTAAGAGTTGACTTATTATACGCTATGCCCCATAGACACCAATTTACATATATCATTAACTATAATAAAATTGCAGAATGGTTTTCATCCCTATACTATTTAGGATGCCTCCCTTCTCTCTCTCTCTCTCTCTCTCTCCATATATATATGTATATATATATATAAATTATGTGTCACGTTGTTTGCCGATTTTAATCAAATTTGCATATCATGTTCTGTTTGGTCCAACTTGAGAGATAGGATAGTTTTTGTTGCCTATGAGTGACCCACAATTTTTTTTTCGAATTTAATGATTTTTAATAGGAAATGACAAAGGGTCGTCGAAAAGGGCAGAACAACGTCTGCCTGGCAAGCTAGTATATATATATATATATATATATATATATATATATATAGCTAGTATATATATATATATATACTACGAAAAGGGCAGAACAACGTCTGCCTGGCAAGCTAGTATATATATATATATACAGGCAGACGTTGTTCTGCCCTTTTCGACGACCCTTTGTCATTTCCTATTAAAAATCATTAAATTCGAAAAAAAAATTGTGGGTCACTCATAGGCAACAAAACTATCCTATCTCTCAAGTTGGACCAAACAGAACATGGTATGCAAATTTGATTAAAATCGGCGAACAACGCTATATATAGTAGTATATATATATATATATATATATATATATATACTAGCTTGCCAGGCAGACCTTGTTCTGCCCTTTTCGACGACGCTTTGTCATTTCCTATTAAAAAAACATTAAATTCGAAAAAAAAAATTGTGGGTCACTCATAGGCAACAAAACTATCCTATCTCTCAAGTTGGACCAAACTGAACACGGTGTGCAAATTTGATTAAAATCGGGTAACGAACAACGTGACACGATAATAAAAAATCTATATATATATATATTAATCGAAATACCACTGACTCACACACGTCACAAGATCTTCAAAACTTTATGCCAAATTGACTTGATTTGAATTGACTTGAAATTAGAGAGGCATATACTCCTTTCTCGACGTAGACACACTAAGAAAGGCTTTCGGAAAATTCAACCCCAAAAATTCAAAAGACCTTATTGTTAATTAACAAATAAATTGCATTCGTTATAGTAAAAATAGTAGATTATTTTATAGAAAGAATAACGGTGACATGCTTCATCTTTATTTATCCTCAACTTAGAACCAAAACGTATTAAAAGTATTTAACGTTATCATCCATGAGGACTAAGATGGAATGTTTAGTTTCCAGTAAAAGGAGGCCCTTTTTATCTACACTTTATATTCGCCATTTGAAACACAGTGGACCCACATTAAACTGCAATTTAACGCTGGTTGTATGTGAAAGTGATCGTTCCCCGATCAGCTGACACATTCATACTACACCTATAGTATAGCAGCTACAGCATTGCTCTATTGTGTTTAAAAATTATTCCACTGCTGGGCGTAAATCTTTCCTTATTTCAGAGGGAGCTTTAGAGTAGAGTAGCTTCCGTCATGTCACATCAGACCAACAAAGAGAAATATACAAAAAATTACATACATTAAAAATGACGCCAACCCAAGTCGAAACCATGTACAACATTCTTATAGGATAACGGTAACAAACGAGCTCACGGTTCACCTGAAGATAAATGGTTGCTGTGGCCCATAGACACCTGCATCTTTCCTCGATTACGAATCAAAATGCAGATGCGTTGTCACCCGTAAGGACTAAGATGGAATGCCTCGTTTCCAGCTGTTAAAAGGGTCTCCGGTTCTCTACACTCATCATACGAAACACAGCAGTGTTAAGCTACTATTTTACGCCGGTATTTTGTGAGAGCGTGGTCCTTACTCGGTGGAGCCGACCCATTCGTGCTATGACTATACTACTAATATAGCTGTAGCATGGCGTTACCACGTAAATAAACTTAATCTTGCAACTTGCACTCACGCACACATATTCATCTAAAATTATTTGCAATCAACTCGGCTTCAAGTGCATATGTGTGCATCTAAGAGTCGACGGTCAATCGGTCTGAGAATGCCGTCCCGTTACGCATTGGCGAACATCAGATCATGTGTTAAAATTACAATATTCATTTTATCAAGTGCGAGTTTCTCGCCTATGCTAAGTAGTGGAAATCTCTGATAGTTTGGCGTGAATGAGTTAATGAATATTTCTACATCTAAGGCACAGTAACACCTGCCATACATCTTTACATGCGACTGATCTGTTTGATTGGGGACTGTAGCAAACTTACCACAAAATGCTATCAAATCGGCCTCTGATTTCATGAAGCAGTGAATGAAATCTTTTTGGACGTGGTAACAATTCCTCTTTGTTAATGTATTATAATGACCATAAAAACAAATGTATTTCTTACTTTTGATCGGAATAATTAGCTGAGGCACCACTGGTAACACTTTATATGAACCTTTGGTAACCAAGTCGTGGATTCCTTGTTCCACGATGAAATTGAAGGGATATGTACCTTCCGAAAGTCCATCGAAGAATATGGGGAGATAGTGATGAAAATCCAATTTTTCTATTGGTACCTAAAATAGTTTTATCTCAAATTAATAGCAATTAACGAATAACTTTCACATATTAGGAATAGTATCTGAAAAAATTAAGGAATGAAAACTATTTAGGTAAACTTGGATATTAAAACATTATCTTAATAAAAAAAATATGTTCAAACATTGGAAGAATTTCATATTATATATTCTACAAGAAATGGAATTTAACAGAAAAAACAATATCCATTGTTGTAATCAGATCTTATTGAAATAATATGTGGGAACATTATAAATACTCTTTCGGTAAATCATGTGAAGTCCGCCACTAGAGTAACGCAAACTTATTGCTGTATAACCCCTTCAGAAGTGAGAAGAGGTTTTTGCCCAGGTGTGCGGCGCATTTAAACTGTAACTTTATCTACTTAAATCAAAATAAGATTTATCGATGAAGTAACTGAGGAGGAAACGCGTTAAGTTTTGATGTTGTTTATAATTTAAAATAATTATCCAATTTAATGAAAATAATACTTAAATAGAGTTATGTACACAAATATTTCTAATTAATCTTTTCAATTATAGAGTGCGTTTATTTATTTTATTATAAACTAGCACCTGTTGTGCCATTATTTTTTTAATTTATTTTTTATTTTACATATATATTATGTAATAATAGTAAATAAATTATTTATTTGCCACAAACCTTTTAACAATTTAAATGGAACCCTGACTTCGAAACTAGTTGTAATAATTGTATCTTAGAAACCAGTGTCTTTCTCAATTAGTGGTACAATTACAATAGATTCTGACGACTTAAGAATAATTCAGGTTCAGTTAACAAGGTATAAAACAAAGCCTAGACCTTTCTTATAAAGGTCTCTACCTATTCTTGAATTTTCACCATAATTTGTGCAGAAATTTTGAAGATTAGCTCGGACTAACAGAGAGATAGCATGCAAATAAAGATGGACATATTGCCCCAACACTAAAGCTAATAAAAGGCGGTTATTTCGATATATTCGTACAGACTAGCACATCCATTTTATTTATATGTGTAATGTAAAAATATATTACAACATCCATGAGTAAAAGCGTACCATTTTAGTCTTTATGTGAAATACCTATCGAGGTAACTGGTCCTAGCAGCTTTGGACTCAATGCAAAGGCATGCTAAGAGGCTTATAGGTGACCTGAATTTAGTTAAAACCAATTCTACCACCCTCGAACATAGGCGCAAAAATAGAGTGTGAGAATGTGCGCAGGAATGGCATAATTTTGTTCCTCCCTCTCCCTTCCACCATCAGACAAACAAACGTCCAGCCAGTCTCCACTCTTTCGTTGTTAACTTACCACTCATTCGAACCAAACGGTTTGCTACATCGTTCATCATGCATGTCAGCAAAGGAGTGGTACAAGTTGCCGGCATCTATATTTCCATCCGATTATAATGTGCGTGTCTTCAAGGCAAGAGTGAACAGGCTTTTGTTAAGTCAGTGCACATCACCATCTTAGGCTACATCACCACTTTACCATCAGGTGCGATTGTAAAGTACTTACTGTATACTTGATAATATATCAATATATACACAAAACAATATTATTATATTTTGGAGCGCATTACCATCTTAATAAATATACATTTTCTTTTAAATAACTGGCTATTTGAAATGGACAGTTTAGTCTTTAGTAAATGGACTGTAATAGACAAAGCACTTTGAAGTCCACCACCACGCAGAACGTTTGAGTGGAGTTTTAGTTTAATCTTCTTATACTTTTCATAGGTAAAGAATTTAAACTTGTAATTTTTTTCATTTTTATTTTGAATATTTGTTAAAAACTTTCGTGAGAAATTTTAACAGGAGATTGGCAACATTATCTTTCTGACAAATTTCATCATCTTATATCATATCTATAAAGAACAACTCAATAATAATAACAATTCTGCAGTTGCCAACCCGCATGCTAAGTGTGCCAACTCTGGCAAAAATATTCTCCCTATGAGGTAATCTTTGTGGGAAGTGTATGTCCAGCTGTGAACTCGTGATGTATGTGACGTATATTTACTTTTTAAACCTGCCTTAACGGTAGAATATACACATAATATTTTTTCAGAACAACTATGGCACATTACCTTTCAAATGCTATGTTTCATTTTCTTATTTTAGAACAAATAATTAAAAACGTGCGTCCATTCTTGATATTCACTTACTTATCATCATTATAGCCTATCAGTGTACTATTGATATCATCAAGTTCACTGCTTAACGTATGCTTCCTACAAGGAATTCCACGATGCCCGGTTCTGAGCCACCTCCATCCATCGACTTTCTACATGTCTTACTAGGTAATCACTCTATCTAGCGGGGTCCATACTACACTTCACTTACCAGTACGAGGCTGCCACCCGAAAACTGCCACTCGGCAGGCGGATTGGTGATCGATGCATCAGATCTTTGTTAGCGGCGGTAACAAAAGGGTTATACCGCCATACGTTAAAAGATATGAATGAGATCTTACTATATCTAATGCCTTAAAAAATAAGGCAAAATATATAACAATCGCATTTAAGATGCGAAATGTTGTGATTATCTTTATATTTATTAGATTATCTTCCGCACATAAGTAGGCACCCTGGTTCTTAAACCACTTATAAAAAGTGTATGTTTGAAGTCAAAAATATATCTCGCGTTTTATGCTAATAATTTTACGTAACTCAATATTTGAAATATGTTTTCGACGATATAAATATATAATCTGACTAAAATTAACACAACACTAGCGCAACGAAAAGGAACTTTCGGTCTACGAGCACGACACAAAACGGACACCGGATAACACGTGAACAGTTGTTACCTTCCAAGATAGCTTTTTTCCGCTCGTAGTGAACTCAATAGAGACGGGAAATTCGCCTCTTTGATAGCATTTTCTGAACATCGTCGGCTTTGGCGGCAAAGGGTCGCAAACGCCACATTTAGGAGGCGGCAACACCTTTGTATTCCTCTGCATTGCTTGTATCGTAAACGCGGGCACGATACGCGGTTTTCTCTTCTTGTATCCATATGGATAATTTGGACTTGGCTTCTTCAATGATTGACGAAATTCCTTGCCGCATGTTTCGGGCACACAAGGCGGTAATAGCACCATGTTTGATATAAAAGCATCAAAATATCATGATACAAAGTAAGGGAGTAAATAATCGGATAATATCGATCTAAAATGTTGACACAAGTAATAAAATAAGAAAGCAAATTTGCTCACGGCCAGGCCCCGATTCTGATTGTTTATTTTGCAACATGATCGTTGCCTGGCAACCGGTCGCCTATCGATTGATTGCCGACAGCGCCGCCGCGCGGCTGCCGCTTAAATTAGGGCAGTTTCATACGATAATTTATTTATATCAATTAAAAATATACAATAATAGTAAGCTATTATTTTTGTATAATATTGTCTGCATAATGAAACCAGAGTAAATCGCTGAAAATGGAGAAGTTTTAAAAAGTGAACCCTTCAAAAAGTGTTCAATTTCATAATGGTCGATTGAAGGTTGGCTAAATTAAGAGTGTATATTGTTATGGCTGTGTATGAAACGACAGCTACCAACCCTTCTCTCTGCCTACCCTTTGTAACAGACGTGATATTTTATGAATATTAGTCAACTACGGACTACTTTAAACCGTATATATACTTTAAAACGTACATATACGCACTAAAAGTTTATAAGAAATTTAGAAGCCTTTTTCAAATCGTAGGAACATGAATTCAAGAATAATCTAAAACTAATTTAGAAACCAACACAGAAGAAGAACCGATTACATGTACGAATCGCCTTATGAAACTGCTGTGACATACACAGTGTCACAGACTAATGCAGTCGTGTGTCACCCGCCTTATATTTGGTCCAGGACGCGAAATTATATTAGAGTTGGGGAGTTTTATTAGAGTTTAATATAAGGTATCTCACAATATCGTCGGTTGAGGAAAACTGGCTTGAATTTTGATGGCTTCTACACTCCGCGCGGAACACGGGGAAATGTTCTTTGATAACTTTTTTCGTATCGGAAACTTTAGGGTTTCAAGAATAAATTGGAACGGTTTTTAATAGATTTTTCATTTTGATAGCAAAAGAAAAATATTTGTATTTATATATCAGTAATTAGCGTTCCAGTTTTTTTGAAAGGAGGCAAATAAACAAGCTGAAACAAATAAGATTCCATATTAAGGAGTGAATAATTCGACGTTGAAATTCTTTTGTTTATAAACATCTGATGTTTTACTTTTCTATAAAAAATGATGATATTTTAAAAGACTCAATTAGCATTGAAACTTAATGTAAGTTAATTAATAAGAAAGAAGAGTTTATTTTGATGTATTTTTATATAGTCTAATTGTAAGAATAACATTTTTATTTAATTCATTCTAGGTAGTGAGAAACCTTTTCTTTAAATAAAACTATTTATACGGATTTCATCGCTTTTAATTAACTTATTTTAAATTTCCGACGTTTCGGGTGCTTTTCAGTACACTCATGGTTACGACGGCGACTGAGATTTTTGACGTCGCAATGTCATAGCCCGACTTCAGTTTTTTAATATTAATTTTCGGTCCGATCTACGCAGAACGAGCTTACAGTATCTTGAAGTTTTGCAGTGATATGCTTGGTCTTGCAGTGGTATATGGGTATGCTTTATTCAATGTGTGATGTTCGCGCAAATATAAGAAATCATTATGTGTACCTTTTCTGTCAGGGAGCACCAATGGGTAGGTCCCACATCTTGGTTATATCTGCTGCTAAATAGTAATGCATGCACTGCTTTTTTCCGATCTGATGGCTAAAAAGAGCTAGCATAATAATTACAGACTATTAACTATTCCATTTTAGTTCCCAGAGCTACGTAGTACTATTATTGGTCTGTGCGAGAGCGTACAATGCCTCTGTAATTATCTATGTGTGACATTGGCTGCAGTTGTTTAAGGACTCCAGTAGGTACTTATCTTCAAATGAAGTAAACGTTAGTTTGTTCAGTTTTATAATAAAAATGCGTTATTTTAATTTAGCTTAGTTTATGATAAACATCATAAAACTGTTTATGTATTGTCTAATAACAAAGATGCCTGTGTACGCTCTTTCGCGGATAAAAAAGAAGGCTATGATCGACGATAAAGCAGTGAAATAACAATAAACGGCACGAAACGAGATGGAATCATTCGCTCAGATCTTTATATCGTTCGAATGGCTGCCGACGGGGCGATTATTTTATCGCCATGTATATACGTGCCCTAAAGCTGTCGCGATAGAGATTTCGCGGCAAATTGAACGCCGGCCGATGCGATCGTTCGATATTTAAAATTTAATATAACATCTGCGGTCCGCATTATGGAAAATTTTATGACATCACGTGAAAGTTACGGGCGAAGCTCATTGGATCTTTACGGTATTTTAATATTGAGAACATAAATCTATATTTACATACTGGTCTATAGATACGCTTCGTCGATGATTTACCTCCGTTTTATGTTTTATTAGAAAAGTAATTGATGTTTTTCAATCAATTATTAAATAGCCGTTATGTTCATAACATTGTAATCTGTATGGTCGCTCACTGATCTATGGAGAGGGCTATGCTCGGGACTTTTTTATAATATATAACTAAGAAATGAGGATATCCGCAGGAGAACCAAAGTGACTGACACAGCCCAACGGATTAGTAAGCAGAAGTGGCAATGGGACGGCCATATGGCTCGAAGTACCGACAACCGATATGGAAATAGGTTCTAGAGTGGCATCCTCTTACCGGTAGGCGACGTGTAGGGCGACCCCCACCAAATGGAGTGGCGACCTAGTAAGACATGCAAGAAGTCGATGGATGCAGGTGGCTCAGGATTGAACCACCAGCATCCATCGACCGCTCAGACCCGTCCAACTACCGGCCTATCGCCATCACCTCCTCGTTCTCCAAAACAATGGAGTCCATTGTAAACTGCCAGCTCATGAGGTACATGAGGTGGGCAGGGGCTCCCCAGTACGAGCTGTCCTTCCACTTGATCGCATCCAGCGCAGAGCGGCTCGAATCGTCGACGACCGAGTGCTTTCCGATCGGCTCGATTCACTGGCATTGCGAAGAGATGTTGCATCTCTTTGCATTTTATTTCGCATATACCATGGAGAGTGCTCTGAGGAATTGTTCGGATTAATCCCAGCTGCCAAATTTCGTGAACGCACTACGCGGCAAACGTCCCGATACCATCCACACCATCTGGATGCTAGGCGGTCCACCACAAAAGGACACAAAAGGAGTTTTCTTCCGCGTACAACCTTTCTGTGGAATAGTTTACCACCGGCGATTTTTCCGGACCAATACGATAGAAAGGAGTGAGCTCTTTTCTTGAAGGTCCCCAGACCATCAAGCAAAAAGCTCACTCCTTTCTAAAGGGCCGGCAACGCACCTGCAATGCAAAACCTGGTGTTGCGTTTGATCATGGGCGGCGGTAATCACTTAACATCAGGTGAGCCGCATGCTCGTTTGCCCCTCTTCTATAAAAAAAAATTCCTTGGGGGAGGCCTATGTTAGGCAGTAGACTTATGAAAGGTTGTAATGATGATGATGATACGTCCCTCCGCTGGGCACAGGCCTCCGCTCATTTCTGAGAGGGTTTTACGGCAAGGATGTGTCCGCCACGCTGCAACTATTCGTGTCGGCGAACTTACATGACATACCGGTTTCCTCACGATGTTTTCCTTCAACGTACGTGGTAAATCAGCACATAAAATTTCAATAAAATTTTCATTGGTGCCGGCGGGGATTGAACCCGGTTTGCTCGCGTACTGTAAAATTTACAGCAATCGCTAACAATCTGAGCTGCTACGGCTCTGTTATATGTGTACATACATTTATTAGTATTCTCATTCTTCATCAGCCCTTCAATTTTTTTTACCCATAGACATCTACATTTATCCTCGATAAAGAATCAAAATGCAAACTAAGGACTAAAAGATGGAATGCCTCGTTTCCAGTAAAAAGGCTCTCCGGTTCTCTTTACTCTCCAATCGAAACGCAGCACTAAGCTGCTAATTTATGGTACGCAGTCTTACTAGCTAACTTCACGAGGTTACTAATTTACTTATTTTAAATAGGCTTCAAGAGTAGTCTCGTTTAATTAAGATGAAAAACTTCCATTCCCCAAAGGTGAATACGTAGTAGAAGGTGATATTCTCAATAACATGTGTGTATTCGTGTATTTGTTTGGAACAGGTGCAACAATTCAATTTAATGATTTTAGTGTAAATATGAGTTTATACTTTATACCTACCGGTACTAATTATTACGACCGTAGTATGCCATTTCATAGTAATTAATGGAAACCTGTTATTGGTCTTATTATAAAAATACTATTATGAAAACTATATAGAAAGGTTTCTTAATAAATTAAAAAAAAAACTATTTACATACTTTCGATACTGCTTAGCTAAAGTAATATAATTTGTTAATTTAAAATAAAAAAAGAATGAATATAAATTGTGAAGTCGGTTTTCTCTTAACGTGGTTCTATAATTATTCGATACATTCATGCTTAAGCAAGCATGAATGTATCGAATAATTATAGAACCACGTTTAAGAGAAAATAAATTATGTGAAAATTTCTAATTTTTTATTCTGTTTAGTTTTTCTTTGTGTGACAAACGAGTACACTGTCCATATGATGATGCTTGCTGTGGCCTACATACACATATTATATCTATCCTCGACCTATGTAAGATCTCTTGACTAAGACAAAATATATCGTTATCAAAATAAAAAGGATTTATATCGGTTTGCTACATGATATAAGAAACATAACAGCATTAAGCTGCTATTTTAAGCTTAAATTCTGCGAAAGCCTGGTCCTTCCCGCACACGCCAGCCCATTCTTGATGCAACTACAACATGATTAGCTTCGGCATAACGCTACTAGGTTAACTTAAAGTTTGATTATCAAGCCTCATAGATAACTCTAGCCCAGATTTGATTAAATGCTGATATGCCAAAATTCCATTATAAAATGTTTAGAGAGCCAGTGTAAATTACAGGCTGCGAGGCATTTCACCTTGTTCATCAGATGTGATAACGCATATATACCTTTCTTTGTTAGAATTTGGCTGCAGATGG